CAACAAGCTCTAACGCATTTAAAAACTTATTTATGGGAAATATCTCCCTCACACAAATCTATACACATAATATACACAGACGCATCCAAGGGAGGTCACATCGGCGTGGCCATCATCCACGAAGATTCGAAATCCAATGGATATACTGTTAGAAAAAWTTTCCAGAACCGAAGCTTTAGCTTTTCTTAAAACCATTGAATAAATAGTATCAGAAATCGACCTCATTAACGTCACAATATACAGCGATTTACTATCTACACTCACCAACCTACAAAATCATCACAATCCCTCTGACATCGTCAGGAAAATCCAGAACGCCCATTTCACTGCAAAAATCTTTTAGCAAAAACATATCATGTTCGTGGATTCTTATTAATTGTAACAATGAGGTCATCGAACGTGCTATATAATAAATAAAAAAAAAAACGTGTAATATAATACGTATAATATTATATACTAGTATTCTTTATAATTTATAAGTTATCAATTTAATATCAGTTAGGTATATCATATAATATTAGCATACATTGTAAATATAATAATAGTAGTTCATAATTGTAAAAAATATATAAGTAGGTACTGCATTCTATATAATAATATAACTTATAAGTTTTCAATGTTTAAGTTATTTTGTCAGCTTTGTCGATAAGTTATAGTTATAATCTATCTTCATAGATTCGATACTTTTATAGGCACTATGTAATATGTATACCTAACGATTGAAACAAGTGTGATTTTATCATTTCATCACTTATAGTACTTACTCCATACTATTGTATTATTCTAAATATAATTTTAATATTATAAATTTGATAACTTATTATAGTTATAATATTATAAAAATGTAATATATAATATATATATTTTTTTCTATTAAAATGTATAATGAAACTTATAATACTATATAAAATATAATATATGTAACTGACTTCCACCGTGTAGGAACTTCCATTCCCCAAATATTTTTATTGCTAATATTTTTTTTTTTTGATTTATTAATGAACGTGAAAAAATAACGTGTTGATTGCTTAAAAAAACGTAATTTTAATTACATCTAGTATCTACTATTTTCAAAAAGATAACTTAATGAATGTTTGAAATTTTTTTGTCATTTTAATTTAGGTCAGGTATTTTATTTACCAACTCCTATCTAAAATAATCATAATGCCCATAATATTCAAATCAAGAATACATTTACTATAAAACATATGTTTTAAAAATAGTTTRAAATATTCTATACAGGCTTTATWAATTAAATTATCTATGTTGTGTTTTAAATATTTTAAACAATCCATAGTTAGAAATGTTATGATTATGACTTAGTTATAACATTAGTATATTTATATTTTCTAAAACAATGTTTAACCTTTATAACCAAACATTTGACTAAAAAATTAGCAGATTTTTTTTATTTATTTTTTTTATTTTAGAACCTTTAGCGATAGCTATTATAGTTCAGCAATTAATAATAACATAGGATGCAAAGATTACAATTTAAGATAAGATACAATAGTTGATACATGATAACAAGCAGACTTTTTGATAATACTTTTCATTTATGATAATTTAAGAATAAAAAAAATATATTTAAATCAATAGTTAAATTTTAGAAATTGCATGTATCTATGGTCATTTGTTTTAAAATTACATCAAAAACCAAAATCGATTTTGTCGAAAAATGAGTGTGCGTAAAATTTCCCGTTTTTCCCTCAATTTTTAGATTGTTTTTCTCGATTATTTAGAAAAGTATTAATAATTTTTCACTTTTGACCCCCTCCAAAGATTCACTTTCTGATCGAACGAGGTACTGAAGTCAAAAATCGAAGCACTTTTACTGCCCCAAAACGTGATGACAGACACAAAAGAAAAAACACACATCATGGTAATATCAATATATTCATCGCTCCGCTCAGAATCTAAAAAAATCAATTAGTGAGTGTCATTACTGGATGACTTCTCACACAAAGACAAGTATAGTCTGTTAATATTTAATCAATTGAAATGTGTAGCGATTATTAAAATTAATGATATGTATAACATTATTATATAATATAATTATATCATAATATAACTACATAAGCCTATTATTGTGCCCCCAAGGTATAGATTGCTTATTTTAAATAAAGAAAAAAAAAACAATAGTATTATAGACTTATGCTATTATGGTTTGACAATGTATGTTTKTTCTCAAATCATAGTAAAATTATCATTCTCATTCTTTACATCATTCGTTTATGGTTTTACGAGAACAAACATCACTAAAACAGCTTATAAATATAACAGTTTATTTTGGTTAATATAAAAATAGGCTCAATGATGAAAGTTCTACGATATATGTACCTATTTTATGTTGAATTCATAATAGTGTAACATTGACTGTAAACTTGTAATCGGTTACAGAGAAATTAGCTTGAAAGTTTTTAAGAAATAAATCGTAATATCTATTGATTATTTTTTATTTTCCCTTAGAAACATGAAACGACCAAACGGACTAATAGGTAATATAAGCTAGCATGTCTCTCTCATACTTCCAAACATAAATGTTTTAGGCTGTATTTACCGAAAGTTTTGCAATTGTAATACAATAAGAACAACAATCGTTATATTGTAAGGTTGAATCTGAATATTTTTATTTTTGCTATTTAAGTTCAATTTTTGAATACATTCGTGTGAACATGATTTAACCTAAAACTGATTTGCCAYTCTTGGGCTGGTGTGTGTAGTGTGTTCAATACTTTGCAATGTGTTTTCCTTGCATGTTAAATGTGCATAAAATGCCTACCTTTCAACGTGCAAAATTATTATAACCCTCTGGGGAAACTGGTAAGCGATAAAGAAGGGATGAATAGGTGAAAGGGTGAATGACTAATATTTTTTATATATAATAGCAAAGTTTTATACTTTGTACAAATATTTTACTGTATATTTGATTAGCGTTTAAATCAGAAATGGCATGGTTCGCATACGTTGGTAAAATATATTTATTGAATTTATGTTTCCTGCACATAGCATTACAGTAAATCGATGTAGGCTATGTAAATCATATGTTTAATGTTTGATATATATTTAGTGACCTGATGGTATTTAATATTATAGGTAGGTATATAAAATAATTATACAAATTTAATGTCCAAACATGATTTTAAAACAAATATGTTTTGAATGCTAATACTTGAATAATTATATATTTTGTTATACCTACCTGCATTTTTTATATTAATAAAATTATAAAATATAATAAAATCGCACTATTTTTTCACTAGCTTGTATTTTTTGGTAATRCATTGGTGTGTATACTTTATAAGTGTAAAATGTAAGTAAAAATGCAAAAAAAATGTCCTACTTATTGAARTAGGTATTTTAGAATAGGTAGTGAAATTGAATAGTGATATTTAAGCAAAATAATGTAAGCCAATTAATATATTTTACAGGTGTGAATCATAAAGTAACATAGCGATTATTAAAACAAATCTTCATTATAGTTTTAAATAAAATAATAAATTAGCTCCACCACTCAAACTAAATTTTTTAATGAGATAACTGTCTCGTCAAAAATTATTATGTAGATACCACCATCAATATAGGTAGGTACCATCATGTGTTGATATTATTTAAGCGAAGCAAAACAAGTGCCCAAGATCGATACCGAACAACTTTATTGTGGTTTGTATTTAAACTGTTTTTGATGATATAATTTAAATTTAAGATATAACTTTAATAATGAAGAATATTGTTGATATGATATGCAAACAAAATAATTTATTTTATTTAAAAATAACATTGAATTTAAATTTTTTGGTTTTCAATTTTTATATAATATTTACATAGCTCTTGCGCTCTATGTACGAATATTAAATTAATTTGATTTGTTCATTCAGTAGAAATAGTTAATTGACCGTGGTCTTATAAAGAATAAATCCAATTTAATTTTTCTTTCAAAATTCGATTAATGTGTATAATCTTAGAAGTGTTAAACCATTAAAAAAACACACACACAATTTATTGAGAATATGTTTTGGAGATATCATAAATAATTAAAATTTTACAGTTGAAGACTAGAGTATTTCAAATATTAGGAGTGGAGGATGGACAGAGTATAATGTAATTTAGTTATTTAAATAACATATTATATGACTTATGGACTTCGTATAAAGAAATGTTATTATAAAATTGATTAAAAATAATCATTTTAATTATACATTTTTTAATAACAGTCAACGAATGAAAGATATACAAATTTAATTTTTTTACTTGACCTTCGAATATTGCTTTTATTAGAATAGTTCATGAACACTTTAATATCATTTTTGATTACCTATTTTTAAGTCTTCTTTTTCTTTAGACTCTTTCAATATCCATTTCCGAAAATTGGACTCACTTAATTAAATAGCCATGCAGTATGTATAATTCTTTATTATTTTATAGGTTTTGATTACTTTATATTCAAACTATATTTTCTACTTATATTATCTTATCTATAGATATTAAAATATAAAAATAAGTCGTTTAATAACTATACACTTATTTTAACATATCCCGATATCCGCATCGACTGCATCCCCTGATATCGTGAAACAATACATATAGACATATAATTATTATTGTATGATACTCTTTTACTCATTTTTCATTCAATTTTCCTACCTATGAACCAAATAATAATAATGGCTGTTCATCTACTATAATACTTTTTGCTAAGAATTATAGAATAGTATGTCATTGAATCGTCTGAATGTCTTCATGTAACTATGTAAACCGATTATTGGGAGCATTCAAAAGTTTATATTTATACAACTATACAAGTACTTTAGCACCTTTATAGTATATAAGTAGGTACTATTAAAATAGTCCTCCTTCCAATATTAATTTTTCATAGACCTGTATGTTGTTTGTCGAATTAAATCGTGAATTCGCATCGATAAGTCAAGTTGTTAAGGACACATGCTTTATTGATAAAATAATATTTAAAATAATAAAATATTAATGTATAATATACTGACCGTCGTTAGCTGTGTCCATCGGGCACGCCTAATATTTCGATGTCCTGTAGCCCTGACATGCGAATGGCTGTCACTAGTTGTGTAGCCCGCTCGCTGTGCTTGACGGATCGCATAACGGGTGGCGTGGTGTCCCTCCAGCCGTGCACTTCCGGATTGTACGGCTCCAGTGAGTTCACGTAGTTCCGCAGCGTAAGTGGCTGCAGTTCCAGCACGTCTGCCGTATTTGAGTGCGTTATCTCCGTGTAGCTCACGGCTGTATAGTTGACACCGGAAACAGACAGACGAATACAAACACGTTGGTGCGTCCAATATAACATCAACTGCAGTACGTATGTACATGATATAGCAGATACACAATAAATGTCATATACATTATAATACGTATAGCGTGCCAAACCAGAGTAATGATAACAATAATAGTATTACCTATAATATATTTGTAATCACTAATCGACAACACGTCGGATATGACGTGAAGGAAAACAATGTAGATATCAGAATAATAGGGTTGTCTATCAGCTAAAATTATATAATAACAGATTGAAAGGAGAAGAGAAGAAGTCACTGTTGACTGTCAGTGCCAGAGAATTGTGTGCTACACACTCGGGGGTGATCATCTACTTTGATAGAAATAAAAAATGAAACATACTATTTTTTATAAAATCTATAACAAAACAAAATCCATACATATTTTATTCTGTTTACACTKCTAAAGTTTATTTTTTAAGCAAATTGAAGTGAATGAGATTTTACTATTACTTTAATTAGGTATAGGTATTACTTGTATTTTATGGAAAATGCATTTGTTTATCTACCTAGTAACCACAGTTACTAAACTTGTTGTTTAAATGACACTGTGACAGGATGAACCTTATTGATAATTTATTATTACGTRTAATCACACACATATTTTGTTAATTTAAAAAAATTGATACCGATTCTTATATTYATACATTTTTGCTTCATTCTCATTACCTAGAGTGATATATTATCATTTAAAAGTTGATAATTCTTCATCAAGATTCTACCATTTGTAGAAGATTATTGAGTAATGCAAAATTGTCTCTTGTATTATACTAAAGTCAGAAAATTGTTGATATTTTTTAAATTTCCAAAGTTCAAAAAGTGTTATTATACGAAAGAAATGTACCTATATATAATTGTTCAACCAATATTCTTTCCTTGTTAATATAACATTGTTTTAAACTGTTTGATTTTTTTATGAATACTTCTCAAAATAATGAGGAGTTAGTTTTATTGAAATATGCAGTTTGTGCCACATATTTTACTGCCAATTAATGTTTTTACTTTGTAACCGACTTTATAAAATAACAATATTTTAAATAATTATATTCAGTTATGGTCTTCAAAAAGTATACGTAATGTATAGTRTTTATTTATGTATATTGTATCTTACTAGTAAAAAAAAAGGTATATCAAAACATATAAGTATAATTGATTACAGTCATAATGACTGATTTTGACTGTTAAGTTGACATGAACCATTAGTTATGTTTTCAAATGATTGATAAATTTAGAGGTGAATTGAACTATATTCATCTTGATCCTATATTAAAAAACTTATGCGTGCGCGTTGATTTTTATTTTTACGAATAACGGTCATTCAACGTTAAATCGTTACGACTGTTAGATGTGCGTATTGTTGTTGTATGGTATGTCCTCGATTATTTGTTTATCATTATTTATAAGTTTACAACCATTTTATACATAACGGTACAGGAGGTAAACAAGGTCAATGACATTTATACCCTTGTTGGACAAGAAGAAAAATGGTAATGTGTGCATAACCCTAAAAAATACTCGTATATTGATTAAGACGATGTACATTCACGCTCACACACACGCGTGCGCGCGGTTTTGTCGCCTTCATAATTTGGTTCGTGGCAGTTTTATGGTTTCTCCCTGTTTTCCTTTCAATGTAACAGACGAATTCCCAGGTTTTACTCTAAACAACATTGTAATATGTATACAAAATATGCCCATAACCTATGTATGATTTAAACAAAAATTGCGACTAGGATGAAAAAATATGACTATCCGCTTAGAATGTTTGTTACAGTAATTTGTTTCATTTTTTTTTCTGTAGTTATTGATAGTTTGTGTTCGATTCTTATTCAATTATTCAAAAAGGTAGTCGATCACATGTTCGTCGGGTTAAGTTGAATAAATCGTAGAGTGAAAAATTAGTGACCTTCAAAGAGGGGAGACAGCGGGTGACCTTGGGAATGGACACACCACCAATCGATCGTTCAACTCGCCAAACACATGCGAAATATTAAATAACTATGATCGCATGGCATTTACGAATGTGGGTCAAATCTATGTTCGAAATTATGTTTAAAAGTATATATTATTTCATGGTCATTAAGAGTCTTTGACTAATTTCCTTAGAATGTGTTGTTGCGACAGGCCTTACCCAAGTTTTCGGAAAGTTCGCTCTGTTGTTTCCAGCAGCAGAATATTTCTGAAATAATCCATCTGAAGAAACTTTTGCTCGAGTTATTCATCACACGGTACCTGACGGATACCGAACAGTATAGAATATTCGCTTCCGTCATAGTCCATCATCTCGACTGCAAAAACATAATACCATCAGTAATCAGTATATTGATATTATAACTATAGTAACTGAATAAAAGTAAATTTAGTTTAAAATGCATACTGATGACGTAGTTGAAAGACAGACTTCATTTTTAACCTAAAGACCCAAATCTTATTACACATATTTACATCTGTATGCAGGATTGCTCATAGTGTGTTCCAAACTATCACTGACTTTTATAATGTTCATCGTATACATTTATTTACGCATACATTTATATATTATTATATATGTATATATATATATATATATTTGTTCATTAAAATATCTTGATGTAATAATTAGAAAACCTATACTGCATATAGAAACTTTCCTAAGAGCCTTGTAGTTTCATATCCGGCGACCTTGATTGTTTAACTGCATTATGAACACATATACATATATATAACGTATGTATATATTTAACATGGTAAGCTATGGAAAAAGTTTTAAAACTTTTTTGCTAAACATTTAGCCACTCGACGCGTTTGAACTTGAAAGTTATAAATGCATTTATAAAACTGAAATATTAAAAATATGACTTCACGATATAGGTATRGGGGATAAATGGGGATTAATTACTGTCTGAATAATTTTAAAATAATAGTTTTGTCTTTGGAATTGTTTATAATTTACATGGCCGTGACTTGGAATGATCGATAAAAATGATTTGAAGAATACATTCTATAACGTTCACGTTATCTAGGGTGTATGATTTCAGGGGTAGGGAGACACCTACTATTTTTGGCGATTGGTTATTTTTAGGTTGTGTTCCACAATCAAAATAGCTCGATATTCACTATTTGATGACATTTATTTATTTTTAATTTTTATAGAAGTTTGATGGATAATCTTAGAGACTAATAGTACACATCGGTATGAGTATTAAAAAAACTATTTCACTTTGAACAGGTTAGAATTAAATTTTTTTATTTTAGAAATAAATTATGGATAATTTTAAATAAGTTTTTAGATAACGTTATGAGAAATTTGATTTGAATGGTTGCCACGTGAATCTAGAGTCGGCAGCGTGAATTATATTATCTTTGCCAAGAAAAAGAAATAATATTTTTAGACGTGGTTTAAAGTGCGTTTATAATTACGTGTCTCTTAAAATGTCCTCCCAATCGTAAACACTTCGCTATCGATGGTCCCGATGGAAGAACAACCGTCTATGGCTTTTTCCTTTATCATCTTCCATTGTTGGCGATTCGGACGCAATTTCTTAAACGACGGCCAGACATTGAGGTGTTGGAAGAAATGGCCAAAAAAAATGTTGATTAAATTAAAATAGGTAAATAACAAACGTTTATGGTTTAACAGTGCATGACTATTTTAATTAAAACACGTAAATAACGTAACAATAATAATTAATGAAAATAAAAAATAATAACTAACGAATAATGAAACACTATTTTACAGATGCATATGTAACTATTATTATACATGCACGGGTGACGGCGTTGTCGACGATGTCGTGTCGAACTTTTGACTGACCCAACAAAGGGCGAACCGCGAACACCGAGACCTTAAAACGATAGAGCGCTACCTTTAACAACAATAAATAATCGTAAAAAATACTGGCGCGACAGAGAAGAGTGAGAGAGAAAACAAAAAATGATTACTTTTTACCTTTACGTGACGTGTCCTCCTTTCGTTTCGTCTCGGGCCGTCATAATAAATAATATATATTTTAAATTAATTTAATTATATTTAACCAATCAGGCTAAGGTATCTATAAAGTTTAAATCAAAACATTGACATTCGTCACATGCTTATAGTGTAGCGGAATCTCAAATGTCGGAGAATAGAAATTTTGATGTCACTGAACGTTTGTTTCGATTCGACATAATATCCCCTCTCTTCACAGATGTACATGCCAGTTTGTATCTGAAATCAAAGCATTTGTACCTTATAAGTTGTAATAATACAATTTTAACAGTCCATCTATTTTGTGATAATATAGAGTTATCATCTATTTATAATGTATATGTGTTTGTTAAATGTTTTTTTTTATATTAAAAATAATATAAATCATACTTGATCTTATAAACTGAAATTACTCGTAGATATTTATCGAATATTTATAAATATATATTATAAAAATTATAATCTATAATACTTTTACAAATTAAATATAAATATTATTATACGAATGAATACGATAATTTTAGTAAAAGTCGTATTCTATGTTATTAATACCTTGGAGTTTATAAAAATAGATCATATAAATATATATTATTCGATGATGTGTATAAGTTGATCGAATTTTTAATACAGCAAATAAATATATTATTGAWTATTATAATTTTAATTATAAAGAAAAACCAGATTTACGTAGGTATCAGTTATAACTCATTAGGAAATAGGTACCTACGTAAAATGATTTGAAAAGACAAAGGTAGTATTGTAGGTATACTATGTGTCTATRTAGTGTCAAACGATTAAGTGGATTGTCAGTATGTGCAGTATGTCGTAGGTCTATTTATTTATTTTTAAGTCTATACATTTTCAAATAAACTTTTTGTGGGATATATCCAGCAAATTTAACAGTAAAAACATAAAATTTATAATTTGAACTTATAATTACAAAAGATTAATGTATAAGAAACAAAATAAAATGCATTAAAACATTTATGATAGTAGTTTATTATAATTATATGATGTGTAGCGTACATTATGGATATTGAGTATGATTAAATATGAATAATGGTATAAAAATGTATATAGGTTTGTATAATAAGGACTGTGATCGTATTGGGTATTATGTCATAACGTATCAATGTAAGTAATAAAATGTTTAAATTATATTGAATATAATATAATCGTATATGTATAGTAACATACCAATATGATGTTTTGTATTAATGTATTAAACAATTCATAGATATTATATCATATTCTTATATACCTAACATTTTATGTTAATTATTATGGAACATTATATGTTAATATAATATTACGCCTAAACGCTATAGGTCATAATAACCCTTGACTTCMAAAATCAAATTCTTATCATTCTRATCTTTAGCTGCATTTCTTCAATTATGTTTATTAAACTAAATTATTTGATGGAGATCTTTCCCTAYTCATATTTGAAGATTATATTGCATRTTAGCCTTTAGGAGGTGTTGTGAACACACTATTCATAGTCACAAATAAATTTAGTCACAACACAAATTGTTAGAAAAGTAGTTTAACTTTATTGAGTGTGTGATATTATATGGMAAATACTTATAAGTCARTATAATTAATAYAAAAGGTTCTGAATATTCTCTGTGATGTTCTGGCAATCATAWGCCATGCGGTTCTGACTATAAATCAAGACTGACTCGCCTAGTCACCTGTGTTACAACACAGTGAGTCCTCGTGCATTCCGTTTAAGCTTTAAGTCGGTGGCGGTGTACATTGAACACTACCACTAATAATATACGTCTTACATACAATAAGTAACCAGAGGTCCTTAACATTCATTGCAGAGGGTTACATAATTGTACAAAATAATAAGTAGAGACTTTGAAGAATTTGCAATAAATTTGAGGGGAGCTAAGCCCCTCCAAGCACCCCGCAATACCCGCCTATATCTCTACTTCATCTTGCCATCAACTCCTTGTACGTCCCTGTATTCCTTCTATTCKTGTATACATTATGATTATTCGATTAGACAGTGTTCTCTCTCCATTTTTCCGTTGTGACCTATTCATTTGATTCTGTATAAAACTAGTAGGTATCTCTTAATGTTTCAATTTTCTAAGATATTTAGTTACTATTATAATTGTGATTTCGGGTTCTCCGTGGTTCTTCTCTGTCCATTGCTCGTATATTATATTATTACCGTTTTCTGTTTGAATATATTTAATCTGTTAGCATATGATTTTGAATATTTTGATAACGTCCGTGTTTCTACATTTCATAGTAAACTATATGTCTATATGGGTTTAATAAAGGTATTTTATAACTTCATCTTATTAATAGCTCTTAATATTAGTTTTGAATTTAAAAGTGTAGTTTTATCAAAGTTTATGCTGCACGATTGTCAGTTATGACTGTTTTAATTTTTCCTTACAGATGTTATTTCCACAGTTATTAAAGGAAAATCCCAGGTACATAAGTCTGTCACGGTCCACACATTCAAAGTCATTCTCGCTTTGTCCAGCRCTACGAGTTTCTGCTGAGGATAATTTTTATGCATTGGGGCAGGCGCGCACCCAGAATTTTTGCTTGGGGGGGGGGGCTTAATAATTTTTCTTTTTTCCTTACACAAAAGTAAACAATTAAAACTAATTTTTAAATAAC